TTTCCTTCTACCATTCCCCCTCTCCATCCTCCCCTCCTACAGCTATCAGTCTGTTCCATGTTTCTATGTCTCTGGTTCTGTTTTTCTCATTAGTTTATTTTGTTCATTTGATTTCAGTTAAAAGTGAGGTCATATGGTATTTGTCTTTTGCTGACTGGCTTATTTCACTTAGCATACTAGTCTCCAGTTCCATTTGTGCTGTTAAAAAAGGTAGGGCTTCTTTCTGCTGTGTAGTATTCAATAACATACTCTTTAAAAAACCCCAGTGAGTTAAAGAAATTACAAAACAAATTAGGAAATACTTTGAGATTAATGAAAATGAAAACACAATGTACAAAAACATGGGATTCAGTGAAAGCACTGCTCAGAGGGAAACTTAACAGCTCTAAATGCCTACATTAAAAAGAAGCAAAAAAAAATCTCAATTATCTAATCTTCCATTTTAAGGAATTAGAAAAAGAGCAAACTAAGCCAAAAGAAGGAAATAAAGATTGGAGTGCAGATAAACAGAAGAGTATAGAAAAAAATAGAATCAATGAAACAACAACAAAAAAGGCTATTTGAAAAAAATCAACAAAATTGATAAATCTTTACCTAGACTGACAGAGGAAAGATGAGTCAATTATTAAAATCAGAAATGAAAGTGGGGCTATTACTAATAATCATATACAAGTAAAATAGAGGATTACAAGAAAATAATGTTAACAGTTGTATATCAACATATTAGATAACCTAGAGGAAATGGAAAAAGTCCTAGGAGCACAGAAATTCCCAAATCAGACTCAAGAAGAAATAGAAAATCTGAAAAACCTGTAATGAGATTAAGTCAGTAATTTAAAAACTCCCAACAAAGAAAAAATCAGGACCAGGAGACTTCATTGATGCATTCTATCAAACATTTAAAGAAGTAACACCAATCTTTCTCAAGCTATTCCTGGAATATAAAAAGAATGTTTCCAATTCAGCCTATGAGACCAGTGGTTACCTTGACACCAAAGCCAGACAAACACATCACAAGAAAAGGGCAAAAATCCTCAGTGAAACACTAGCAAACTGAATCTACCAGATTTTAAAAGAATGATCTAATATGACCAAGTAGGATACATCAAAGGAATACAAAAATCATTCAATATATAAACATCAATGGGATACACTATTAATATGAAATAGAAAACATGTGATCATCCCCATGCAGAAAATTATTTGAGAAAACCCAACAACTTTTTATGATTTAAAAAAAACCCAAGAAAATAACAGGGAGGAGGCAAAAGGTGAAAAACTAGGACAACTGTAATAGCATAAACAGTAAAATATAATAATAAAATTATAACCAGAAAAAAAAAATAGAAGGGAAGTTTATCAACCTGAAATAAAGGGCATCTATGAAAAGCCTAAACTAACATACTCAATGACGAAAGAATAAATGCTTTCCCTCAAGATTGGGAACAAGACAAAGTGGTCTTGCCATTACTTTTGAGCATTGTACTGGAAGTTTCAGTCGGGGCAATTAGGCAAGAAAAATAAATAAAAGGCATCTAAATTGAACAGTAAGTAAAACTCTCTTCAGAGAGAGCATAATTGTATATACAGAAAATCCTAAAATATTAATACAAAAACTGAGTTAAATTCAACAAAGTTGCAGGATAAGATATATGATGCACAAAAATCAGTTTTATTTCTAAACATTAGCAATGAACAATCTGAAAATAAATCAATTTCATTTACAATAGTATCAAAAAGAATAAAATTCTTAAGGATAAATTTAACCAATGTGGTGTTAAGACTTGTACACTGAAAAATACAAAACTATAAAACATTCTGTGTTCATGGATTGAAAAACAGTATTGGTGAGAAGGCAATACTCTGCAAATTTTTCTATGGCTTCAACCCAATTCCTTTCAAAATTTCACCCTGCCTTTTTGCAGATATGGACAAGATGAACCTAAAATTCATATGGAATTGCAAGGGACTAGTCTCCAAACAGCCAAAACAGTCTTGGAAAAGAACAACAAAGTAAGGGAACCCATACTTCTTAACTTCAAATCTTAATGCAGATCTAGTAATTCATATAGTGTGATACTGGTGTAAAGATAGGAACATAAACCCATGAGATAGAATTGAAAAATCAGTCTAAACATCTCTGTTCAATTGATTTTGACAAGGGTCCCAAGGCCATTCAATGGGGAAAGAATATTCTCTTTAACAAATAGTTATGGGAAAACTGGGTGTCCCCAAGAAAAGGAATGAAGTCGACTTCCTACTTCACATCATATACAAAAATTAACTCAAAATAGATGAAAGAACTAAATGTAAGAGCTAAAGCTATAAAAATCTTAGAAGAAAATGGAATAAATATTGATGACCTTGGATTTGGCAATGGATTCTTAGATATGACACCAAAAGCACAAGCAACAACAACAACAAAAAAAATAGATTTTATCAAAATGAAAACTTTCGTGTTTCAAAGGACACTATCAAGAAATTAAAAGGTCTGGTCAAGATGGAGGCATAGGTAGACATGCTTTGCCTCCTTGTGTGACTACAGAGAGAATTGCAACTAGACCTCAAAGCAAATAACACTCAGATCTGTCAGAAAATCGAACTGTATAGAAGTCCAACAATCAAGGATGTAAAGAAGCCACATTCATCCAGATGGGTAGCAGGGGTGGAGACAGAGAGGTGAGGAGATGCAGTGTGGCATGGAGAGGCAGCGTGGTGGTGGAATGGGCAGCCCACATTCACGTGTAGTGGGTAGAAGTTAGGGATATCTTGGGAGCAAGTGATCCCAGCTCCAGGCCAGACCACACAGCCCAGGGTTCCAGTGCCAGGAAGATGAATCCCCATAACTTCTGGCTGTAAAAACCAGTGGGGGTTGGGGTGGTGGAAGAAACTGCTGGATTTTCAGGAGATTCTACAGTCTCAGAATATGCAAACCTACCCACTGTGGGATTCAGCACTAGGCAACAGCTGGAAGGTCACCAGTCGAATATGGGGAATGGTTGAAGTGACTGGAAACAAGGCAAGTGCCAGGCAAACCTCCAGAAGCCATACATTGGTATTGTCACCTCTCTAAGCACCCCACCCCTGCTCTGCCCACACACATACACAGAGCCATAAAGCAGTGAAGCAGGTTGCCCTGCCCGGACAATTGCCTAAGGCTCCACCCCACACAGTTTACAGGTGCCTTTTCTACAATAGGCCATGCTACAGGGGATCAAAGCAGCTCTACCTAATACAAAGAAACAAACACAGGGAGGATGCCAAATTGAAGAGACAAAGAAATATGGCCCAAATGAAAGAACAGTACAAAACCCCCAAAAAAGAGCTAAACAAAATGGAGATAACCAACCTGTCAGATGCACAGTTCAAAACACTGGTTATCAAGATACTCAAAGAACTCATTGGGTACGACAACAACATAATGAAAGACATGAGGTTTACACTAAGTGAAATAAAGAAAAATCTACAGGGAACAAACGGTGAAGGGGAGGAAGTTGGGATGCCAATCAATGATTTGGAACATAACGAAGAAATAAAGCATTCAACCAGAACAGCAAGAACAAGAATTTTTTAAAAACTAGGAGTATATGAAGCCTCTGGGACATCTTGAAACATGCCTACATCCAAATCAGAGAGATGCCAGAAGGAGAAGAGAAAGAGCAAGAAACTGAAAACTTATTTGAAGAAATAATGAAAGAAAACTTCCCTAATTTGGTGAAGGAAATAGACATACAAAGCCAGGAAGCACAGAGAGTCCCAAGCAATTTGGACACCAAGACACATCATAGTGAAATGTTAAAGGTTAAAAATAAAGAGAATCTTAAAAGCAGCAAGGGAAGAGCAGAGTTACCCGCAAAGGATTTCCCATAAGACTCTCAGCTGATTTCTCAAAAGAAACTTAGCAGGCGAGAGGGACTTGAAAGAAGTATTCAAAGTCATGAAAAGCAAGGTCCTATAACCTAGATTATTCCATCCAGCAAAACTATCATTTAGAAGGGAAGGACAGATAAAGTGCTTCCCAGGCAAGGTAAAGCTAAAGGAGTTGATCATCACCAAGCCATTATTACATGAAATGTTAAAGGGATTTATTTAAGGAAAAGATGAAGATCAAAACTATGAATACTAAAATGGCAACAAATTCACAACTATCAACCACTGAATCTAAAAAAAATAAACTACACAAATAACCAGAACAAAAACAGAATCATAGATATGGAGATCATTTGGAGGGTTATTAGTTGGGAGGGGGGAGGGGAAGAATGGGGGAAATGTTGCAGAGATTAAGAAGCATAATTGGAAGGTATAAAATAGGGGGGTGTTAACAAGAGTATAGGAAATGGGGAAGCTGAAGAGCTTATATGCGTGACACATGGACATGAATTGGTGAGGGGGGGGTTGCTGGTGAGGGAAGGGAGATACTGGGGGAGGGGAGCAAAGGGGGAAAAACTGGGACAACTGTAATAGCATAATCAATAAAATATATATTTTTTTAAAAAGTAAAAAAGACCACCTACATAAAAACATATTTGCAAATTACGTATTTGATAAAAGCCTAGTATCTACAACACATGAAGAACTGTATCAACAACAAAAGGCAACCCAATATTTAAAATGGGCAAAAGACTTGAATAGCCATTTTTCCAAAAAAACAAAAACATACAAATAGTCAACAAATACATGAAAACATGCTTAGCATAGCTAGTCATTAGGTAAATGCAAGTTAAAGCCACAGTGATATACCACTGGACACCTAGTATGATGGCTATAATCAAATAAAAAAGACACGGCAAGGATGTGGCAAAATTGAAACTCATATAAATGCTGGTAGGAATGTAAAATGGTACAGCTGCTGTGCAAAAAAAGAAAAAAAGTTTGGTCATTCTTCAAAAATTTAAACAGGGTTACTGTTTGAATCAGCAGTTCCATCCCTAGTTATAGACCCAAGGGAAATGAAAGTATATATCCACACAAAAGGGAATGAAGTACTGATACATGCTACCGCATGGATGAACCTTAAAAACATGTGAAGTGAAAAAAAGACACAAGAGGCCACATATTGTATGATTCCTTTTTATAAAATGTCCAGAAAAGGCAAGTCCATAGAGACAGAATTATCAGTGAGTTCAAGGGATGGTAAGAGGAAATGGGAAGTGATGCTTAATAGGTACAGGGTTTCCTTTTGGGCTGACCCAAGTATTCTGGAATTGGAGAGGTGATGATTGTACAACATGGTGAAGCCACCGAATTTGTATTTTAAAATGGTTAAAATTTTGAATTTTGTGTTATGTGAGTTTTACCTCAATAAAGAAAAATTGTTTTACTTTTAATGGGTACTCAAATCCCCCAGTGGGGGTCTGATTAAAATGTAAATTCTGATTCAGGAGGTTTGGGTGGGGGCCCAAATTCTCCATTTCTGACAAACTCCCAGGTGAAGCCACTGCTTCTCATCTGTGGCCATACTCTGAGCAGCAAGGCTACCAAGAGGGCCCTTCCACTGCATCATCTTATGATTCTGGGATTCAGGTGCCTCACCTCTGTGGACCAAGCCTGCCCTGTCCACTTCTATAAAGAAAGGTGGCTGAACCCTAGCTGGTGTGGCTCAGTGGACTGAGTGCCAGCCTGTGAATGAAAGGGTCATTGGTTTGAGTTCCAGTCAGGGCACATGCCTGGGTTGCAGACCAGGTCCCCAGTAGGGGGCGTGTGAGAGGCAACCACACATTGATGTTTCTCTCCCTCTCTCCCTCCCTTCCCCTCTCTAAAAATAAAAAAGAAATTTAAAAAAATCTTAAAAAAAAAAAAAAGTGTCTCTGAAGCACAGGGGCCAGGGGCAGTCAGTCAGATCTGAGCCTTCAGGGGGATGTGGGCCTCAGGGCATGGGAGTAGTTAGAGGAAGGGCTGTGGCTATAAGGGTCGCAGACACAGATGAATGGAGTAGCTTTTATTTTGTGCAAAGCTGAGGAAGAAAGGCCAGATGCAAGGCTCTGTTCTCAAAGAAGAACTGTTCAACAGGTGTATGAATTCCAGCTTCTGGGCAACTCCATCTCTGGTGCTCAAAAATGATCTGAAAGAAATGGGGTGGCTCGGCGGGAGTGGGTGCTGAAGGCACCCTGCCCTCTCCTCCCCTTCCCTGGGGAACTCCTGTGCCAGGGAACACAGGACTCAAGGAGAGAGCAGGGTAGCAAACTCTCCGCTGCCTGGTCAGAGGGAAGCCAGTCTTTCCTGAAAGGGTTTTGGGGTGGCACAAGAGTGGTCCTTGGAAGGGAGATGAAAGGAACCAAGGAGCTTGGAGGCAGCTGCTCTGTGTCAGAGTGTTAGTGCTGAGAGTGGAACTTCGGTGAATGGGCGCTCTTCCAGGCGCCCTGAATGATGCTGGGCTGCAGCCACTCTGGGTCGGGGTGGGGACGGGGGCGGAGAACACTTGGAGTGAGCTGTGAGAAATGCATGCCCACTTCGGTCGACGGAGGAGCTGGAGCCCTGACTTGACCAGGCTACACCAGTACAATCATCCCGGTCCTGCTTGCCCAGCCCCAGAGGCTGTCACCTCTGCCACCCGAGCCATCACACTCACCATCTCCCAGGAGGTCGGGGCTTGGGCTGAAGGGCCCCTGAGGCAGGTTCCAGGCCAGCTTCTCCAGCTGGCTCAGCAGGCCTTTCACTTCTGCCTCCAGGTGTTCCACTGTCTTCTCCACCTTCTAGAGCAAGGAGAGATGGGAACGCGGTGAGGTAGGGTGAGAGAAGCCGAGAACAAGAGTGGTGCCAAGTCCTGCTTCATAAGGAGCACCTGGTGGTCCCGTGGGGCGAGAGCTGGGTGCCAGGGGACCTGTGTTCTTCTGGTTCAGCTTATGCCCCTGCCTGTCTCTCGTTCCCCAGATGACAAAGTCTTTAGGGGCTCCCTCTCTATGGGTGCTCCTGGCTCTGGCACTCCGTTGTTTTTTTTCTCGCTCACAGGTGTGGAGTGACTAGGATTCCTTCTCCGTTTCTAGGACTCATCACTAGAAGCGCACATTCCTTTTGTTGCTCCGCCCCCTGGTGGCAACTCTGCTAAATGACAGTTTAGGGATTTGGCAATTTTCCTTATTCAGTGTTCCTAACTTTTTTCATGACTGAACCTCATTAGCAGTCTGGTGAAACCTACAGACCACTTCTTAGGAAAGCGATTTAATTGAAAAAATAAAACATACAGGCTTTCCAAGGACACCAACTGCATATTAGAATTAAATTTTTGATATAAAATTTTTTTAAACGTTTATTTATTGATTTTAGAAGCAGAGAGAGGAGAGAGAGAGAGAAAACAATGTGTTTTCACTTATTTATATGTTCATTGGTTGATTTTTGGCTGATTTTTGTATGTGCCCTGACTGGGAATTGAACCACAATCTTGTCATATCAGGATGACACTTCAGCCAAATAAGCCACCTGGTCAGGACTAAAATTTTTGTTTTTATTAACTCACTAAATAACATGACCTACCATGAGGTCTAACAATACTTCAATTATGACATACTAATTAGAATAAATGATATGTTGAGATATTCACAACAACTATAATGGGATGAAATTATCTGATTTCTATTGATGACAAAAATCACAGTACTATTGATACTTCTATGGTTTGTTGTATTTATAAGAAATGAGAATGTGAAGGTTTTTGAAAATGAAGTAAAATTTTCCCCCACACAAGTTTACGAACGCCAGGTTACAAACTGTGGTTGTATAACAAAATGCAGTGACTGAATTTCCACCTTTTCTGCTGGCAATTACACAGAGATTTCTGGCTGGGTGTAAGCAAGGCCCCAGGGGTGGCAGAGTCCTTTGGGGGCTGGTCAGCCTGACACCCAGGCAGGGCAGGGAGATGGTTAGCCTGACAGCCCAAATGGCCAGGGAGCAGGACTCGCCTGGATTTCCCTAATATTACAAAGCAAGGCTGGCCTGAACCCTATAAAGCCACCAGCCTGGCAGGCAGACCCGAAGACACATGCCCTCCCAGGTCACCCCTATTACCTCCTCTATGACGTCTAAACGGCCATGGACAGCCACGTGTGTGTCACACCCTGTGCTCTGAGCTGGGTCTCCTCGGGAGGGGATGAAAGGTTCGGCAGCTGTGGGAAGACAAGTCTTGTCACTGTGGGGGCCTTAGTTTTCCCCGTAACACTCGAGACTCCTGTAAAGCACTGGGCTCAAGTGAAGCGGGGCCTGAAAACAGTCACAAAGAGAAACAAAGTCAGGCTCAGTGGGGGTCAGGGAGCAAGTGTGGGGCTGCTCTAATTGCTCACTTCTCTCTATGGTCTCTATGAGCTCACCTACCGTTCCGGGGGTGGGGGACATTCCTCAAGGAGGTACTGCCTGCCTTGGGTAAGTTAAGGAAGGGAGGAAAGTTTCCACCAGGGAGAATGGCATGTGCAAAGACAGAGAAGCATGAATGAGCAGGGCTCATGTACAAACCCTGGGGAGTTTACAGTGGCTGGGAAGTACAGGGTGGGATGGGAGATGAGACTGAATAGGTGGATCACAGAAACCAAGCCAGAGGCCCTAATAACCAATCTGGAAGGATTACATAGTCATATATGAATTTTTAAAACACACAGACTGGATTGTAGGGCTTTGTCTTTGAAGGCAGGAAGTTACTGCAGTAATCAGGGTAAGAGCTGAGGAAAAAGGAGGCAGTAGCAGTAGGAACAGAGGGAAAGAAAATGAATGGAGATTTTAACGGCAGCATTGATATCAGTGACAAGTTAACAATAGCTGACATTTGATGAGTGCTTACAGTGTACCACAAAGTGTGTTAAACAAATGTATTAGCTCAATCAAATTCTACAACAAAGAATTATTATCCTTAATTTACACATAAGGAAATTGATGCACAGAAAGGTGAAATGATATGTCCAATGTCACACAGCTAGTAAGTACAAGATCTGAGGTTCAACCTCTTCAACCCTTGATTCATCATTTTTCTCCCCAACGCTGGTTCCTCCTTGGCTTCTCTTGGCACTACCAACCCTCATACTGGAAGTCTTAGACCCATGGTTCTGAGCTCAGGTTTCAGAGTCAGTGGCTCTGAGATGCCCGTGGATCATTAGAGTTGGCTGGAACCTTGAAGAATGCTGACTCTCAGAAAGAAGGATAATGTCCCAGAAACTAAGAGAAGCAGAAAGCTTTATAAAGGATGAAGCAGTCAGCATGACCTAAAGCAGCCCAAAGGTCCCGCAAGCTAAGGATGGAAAAACAGAACAACAGGGAGGTCACTACTAAATCCACCCCGGAACTTTCGGTAGAGTGGTGGAGGCAAAGCAAAGTTTAGGTTGCAGTGGGATGAAAAGGGAGAGATCAGAAGGTAGAAATCTGGATCCTGGAAAATGTTTTCATGAAGCTTCTCTGTGAAGAAAGGAAGAGCAGATCTCAAGGTCTCGAGCAAGTTTATTGTTCCTTTCGATTTTCTACCACACTGAAGAAATGCAGCCATGCTTGCAGCCCGAGGGACAAGAGGAAGAGAGGAGAACTGAAGAAATGCATTTGAGAGGCTATGCAATCCAGAAAGGGGTGGTGGTGGTAGGGAAAACACGTGGTAGGGAAAACACATGGAAGGAAGAGAGAAGGAATGCAGCAAAAATGGGCCAAAAAGTTCTACTTCTAGAGGGCCAAAAGTTGAGTGAGTTCCCACCTGATGGCCTCTACTCATTCTGTACAGTTAACAGGAGAATCATGTTGCTGAGAATTCATATAGGGTTAGGAAAGAGGAGAGATGGTTGTTGAATTTTCAGGAGTTCTGTGAGTGGGTTAAACACGGTTACTAAAATAGAAGCCATGGTTAGAGCATTTACAGCACACTAGTGGGAGGGGGGCGTGAATAAAGAGAGGGTTCCCAGAGGGGGTGACGAAAATGGAGGCAGAGCAGGAGGACCTCAGAATGACCTGACATCAGTGAGGAACTTTGGAAGCACCAGTTCTCCCCCAGCGCGGTGTAGAGCAGCAAAGACGAATGACTGGACGGAGCTGAAACCTGGGAGTCTGCAGGATGAGTTGTGGTGAAGGGCTAGAGACCAAAGGAATTGAGGGTTTGACCAGCAAGGGGTTGAGAGAATGAGCTCTGGAGTCTTGCTTGGATAAGGAAGAAAAGAGGCCAATGAGGAGACCACTGGGAGAAATGGAGGGGCTGAAAGGACTGGAGGTCTTGATGTGACAATGAAATAAACAAATGGAACAGGTGGTAAAGGATACTGCAGTTTTAGTTTTTGAAGGTGGAGTAGTGTCACAGTGACAATATCAGGTGTGTGGCTATGGATATGGACATCTGAAGCAGATGGGGTTTACAGTTACTGCACTTTGGTCTCTGTAGGTGCAAAACTTCTGGACCTATAAGACCTTGGTGTTGATTGGGTTGTCCAAACAGACATTTAGAGTTGCCCTAAAGGTTAGCAGGTCTTAAAGTAAGAATGGAGATGTTAAGCCATTTTGCTGGTGATAAATATGTCACTCTGAGAGGTGGAGTGATTTACTCAAGGTCACACAGTCAGCAAATGACAGGACCCCAAGCACTCTGGCCTTGTCCTGACCCCTCCTTAGCAAGCTGGCCTTCTGATCTCTGCTGGAGTTATCAGAGTCTCTGGTTTCAACTCTATCTGGATGCCAGCTCTTGCATTCAGAGACAAAGACCATGAATAAGGACAAAACTTCCTTCTACTCTGATCATCTTTTGTGGAGAACAATTTGTTTTACATCCTCCATTTCATTATTTTGCTCCACTTAACTTACAAAAGCCTTTTCAAAAGACAATTGTCTTCTTGTTGACTTTGGGTAGAGAGGATGTCATAATGCAGCTGTGGTTACTTTTTTTTTAAGTGAGTCTTTTAGAGATTTATACTAAAATATTTACAGATGAAATCCTATGATGTCTTGGATTTATTTCAAAACAATCTAGGCCTGGGAGTGGGAGGAGGCATGGGCGAGAGGATAGAGCAAACAAGATTGGCCAAGATTAGCAACTGTTGAAATTGGGTGATGGGGACATGAGAGTTCATTGTACTCTTCTCTCTACCGTTGTACATATGCATGGTTTAAAATTTTCCATAAGAAAAACCAGTTGTTTGGTGGATTGTTAGCAAAACACAGAGGCCAATGTGGGCCGCATGCACTGATGTAAAATGATCAGCGCGGGGATATGGTAGGGAAACCCCACCTAAAGGGCTGTGCTCCATTCTGGGCCACAAGTCCCAAGCAGGTCTGGAGGTGACCAGGGTGAAGGGACTCCAAATTCTGACTTGTTTATCTCAGCTGAAAGAACTGGGGCGCTTGGCCTGAAGAGGAAAGACTTCGAGAGGGCAGTAAGAGCTGTTCTCACCCACCATGAGGGTCTGTGTCCACACTCACCTTGTGTGAGTCTGCCCAGAGCCTTTGGCCAAATTTTCCCCCTGAGCCTCACCTGCCCTCTCCCAGGCCCTAACCTACTCTCCCCGACCCGTCCCCCCAGCTGAGGCCAAGAGGAAGCACCATGACCCTGTCAGCCAAGTAGGGATCTGCCAGCTTTGTAAGTCATGAACAACATGAATATGCTTCTCTCACTGGCCTAAAACATACTGTTCTTTACGTGTCTGTGGTGAGATCTAACTTGGCTCCAAAACCCCTCCAGGGATAAGGCTGGACTGAGGTTGCTCTCCAAGTCACACAGTACTAATCTCTCACATCTGGATAGGACTTTGCCCTGGGCTCCACCGTCCAACTCTCAAGGAGCTCATCCACGCCTCCTGACTAGCTCCTTGGAGAGAGAGCTGGGACAGACCTGGGACAGAGAGGGGGCCAGGGCCCTCACTCTGCACCACAGCTCCCTCACCCACGTGGATCTCCACAGCATTGATCTCAACGCATGATGGCAGAAAACACACTGACCACCCATGTTCTCAGCCCAGCTCAGCCATGAATTGGTGCGAGCCTGTGGGAAACTTTCTCCTCTTGCCTCAGCCTCTGCAGTGTCCTCTGTAATACGAGTAGAAAGGCCCAAAGCGCTGCTGCCTGGATATAGCTCATCTGAGATTCTGCTGGATCTTTCAGAGCCTGCTGAGAGGCCTCAAAAATTAGCTATAGCCCTGACGGGTGTTGTTCAGTGGGTTGGGTGTTGTCCTGAAAACTAAAAGGTCACAGGTTTGATTCCCAGTCAGGGTACATGCTTAGGTTGTGGTCAAGGCATGTACAAGAGGCGACCAATCAATGTTTCTCTCTCACATCAATATTGCTCTCTCTCTCTCTCTCTCTTTCTTCCCCCTCTCTAAAAATAAATAAATAAAGCCTTAAAAAAATAGCTCCAAGGACAGCACTGGGATGAGTCAAGGACAAGTTGCTTCCTGGACCAGAACCTCCAGCAAGGCAAGACCTGGGTGCCTTCTGGTTTTTTTTTTTTTTGAACTTGTACACGTGTACACACACACACATCTTGGAGTGTTGGCTTCCTTATCAGTAGAAAGGGGCTCATGATAATGGTTGCTTCATGGGGTTTTGGAAAGCTCCAATGAGAGAAGGAGTGGGGAGCTGAAGGATTACTATGCTCAACCTTGAGGAGCCAAGGCTGTGGTTCCCGTCTTCCCTTCCTTCCACTGCTCCCTCCCTCCCTGCCCTGGCCAATTGGGAAATGGACCTTTTTGGATGCCGGGTTGTTTTCCCTGGCCTGGCTCCTGCACAGGGCCTTTGTGAACCCTGGACAGTGGCCAGGGGTGGAATGTCGTGAGCTGGTGAGAACAAGCTGCCAGTAGAGGCCAGAAGCACAGGGGGAGGGACTGGGCCAACTTCTCCAGTTAAGGAGAGACATGGCCCCTGGGTCATGGGAGAGACATAGCCCACTCCCACTTACAAGCAGAGGAGACCATTTTTTATCTGGGACTCAAACACTAAGAAAGCACGTACAACTCAACTGATTTCTGCCATGCTAGGTGATGACAGACACTTTCTCAATGGTGACACTTGCTGCTATGCCTCCTGAATCATCAAAGATACTCTGCTTTGAACAGCAATTCTTGTTACTGGGCGGGGTTAATTATATTTGACCACATTCTATATAATAGAATAATAAATTTTACCACATTCGATATTTATATTAAAATTTGTCATTCATTCAAAACTATCAGTGGTTTTTGATTTTCTTTTTTTTTTAAGCAAAAGAACATTATTTTTAAACGATTATATGAAGAACTCCAATCTGTGGAACTGCTCTGGCTGAAAAGCAAAGGGATCCTCAGGACCCCAAAAAGAGAGCTCAGACTCTGAGGAACATTTTAGTTTAGTTTCATTTTGTTTTGGGAGAGACACGTCCTGCTCCCTTGGTCTCTGGTCCTCTTGCAGATGTGGATTTGAGCCTTGCTGATCACTCTGAGAGCACAGCAATGTCATTCCGATACCTTTAGTATCTGGTTAAGCTAATGTTTTGCTTAAGATACAAGTTAGGCTGCTGTAACAAAGAGCCCCCTCAATTATACACACATTTATTTCTCATGTATCAGTTCAGAGGCAGACTGGCTGGTGGTCAAGGCTGGCAGGCAGCTCTGCTCCATGAGGCCACACAGAAACCAAGATTCCTTTTATCTTAGAATACTGTGTCTTTTAATCCGCTGGGTTATAATACACTAGAACATTCCAAAACCCCCATAATGTGGAGAAAGTCTAAGAAGCCAGCTGGGATAACTAACCTCTCTCCTCATGCTTTGAGTGAAACACAAGACTGGGAGTCGGGGACACAGTGCCACCGTTACTGCTTACTGTGTTCTTTGCCTTGCACTAGCTTCCTTGTCTGTAAGGATCTGCCCTGCTCTGCTTACTTTGCAGGATTGCTGTGTTGATCACAGGAGATTCTGTACTTGAAAATGCCTTGGAACTGCCAAGGGATGTACAAATGCCATGCAGGGCACTTACCAGGCGAGCTGAAGACTGTGCAGGTCAGTGAAAATACCCCCATGGCTCCCTCCTCCGCATGGGGTCAGTGCTCTTGGCTAGATCACTCCAGCCAGCTCTCCTCAAGATGGAGTGGGGGGAGCATCTGCTCTAGAACTGTTCTCATGCAGGGGTCCCAGAGGTGCTGGGAGGGGCTTCTCCAACAAGCACAAAAAGGGCTCAGTGCTGACCCAGCTCACTGGCCTCTTTTAAACCAATCCCACTTGTTGGATCCTTGGTTTCTTCACCTTGAGAATGGGCATAGCCGTTCTCTATATTCAAAGCTAATCTTGATTTGTGTTCACATTATTTCATTTAATTCTATCTGTAAGCTCATTATTCATACAATTTTTTTTTTTTTTTTTTTTTTTTTTTTTTACAAATTAGAAAACCAGCGATCAAAGATGTTGATGCCCCAGATTACACAGCTAGTAGCTGGTGGGGACAGGATTTGAATCTGACCTTCCTGACACCTCTATACTGTACCCTGGCAGTCACATGACTACCCATTTGGAGCCCCAGCTGCCTCTTCTGAAAAATGAGGGGAGGGACAGGTGTGGGGCAAACAGAACCTGTACACCTGACATCTTTGCAGCTGTCTTGAGGCCCCACAAGAACCCAAATGTGTGCCTTTGATTCAATGGTCTTTGAGAGCTTTGCTCTCCACAACATATTTTTTTTAAGAAGAAATGCTGTGATCCTCACCGCAGCCCTTCAGTACCTTCCCCTTTCTCCCATAGGAAAAAGCAGAATCCTGAAGGAAGGCAGAGACCTGGAGTGGTTGGTAATGGACAGTGAGAGCTTCCCCAGTGGGCTCAGAGGTATGGGTGCGGGTGGTTAGACTGGTTAAAAGAACCAGGTTCTAGGACTCCAGGTCCCTCTGATGGCAAAACAGAAAAGGAACACAGCCAAAGCCTGAACCTAAGGAAAAATTCTCTGCAACTGACACAAAACAGTTTGCCTCACTCAATACATAAAAGGTTTTTACAGATCAATATGAAAACAATTTTAACAATTTTAAAGTCAAAAACAATTTACAAGAAGTAGTAGAAATGACCAATATGCATTTGAAGAAAAAGTCCAATCTTGGTAGTGATCAAAGAAATGCAAATCAAAGCAATAAAGACCATCTTAAAATATTCGTGCAAAAACTAGAACAAACTTCTAGATCTAACTATGAGTTTATAGACCATACAGGGGCAAAAAGAACATTTAAATACCTGGGGGATGCAAGCAGCCAAAATCTAAATGTGGAAAACTACAGGACAACCAGTTTCTTCAACAAATAAATTTTAAGAAAAAAAGCAGAACTTACATATTTAAAGAAACTTAACAGATATAGCAACCAAAAGCAATGTATGCACCTTATTTAGATCAAAGAAAGCAAATATAAAAACACGACACAATCAGGGACATTTGAATGCTGATTGAATATTTGAGGACATTAAAAGATTCCTGTCCATTTTTAGGTTGTAATGATGGTATCTTAGTTACGTTAATTAAAAGATTACTTATCTTTTAGAGATACATCAGGAAATCTTTAGAGATGAAAATATATGATATCTGGAATTTCCTTCAAAATAATTTACAGGCATACCTCAATTTATTGCACCTTACAGATATTGTGGGGTTTCTTTTTCTTTCTTTCCTTTTTTTTTTTTTAAACACAAATTGAAGGCAAGATCCTCCACCAGCAAAAAATTATGACACACTGAAGATTCAGACAGTGGTTAGAATTTATTTTGATCAATAAAGTACTTTTAAATTATTGTTTTTCTAGACATAATGCTATTGCTCACTTAATAGACTATGGCATAGTGTAAATATAACTTTTATATGTATTAGGAAACCAAAAAAATGATTTGACTTATTTTACTGCAATAGTTATTTTATTGTGGTGGTCTGGAACTGAGCCTACAACATCTCTGAGGTATGCTTTTATATCCAGAAGATTTCATAAATAAAATTTAAGAAAAACAATGGTACATTGTGTGAAGTTTGAAAGGTTATACACAAAAATGTGTGAACTCAGTGTGGAATTACATTAATACCTTTATACTTTCCTTTTCTTTCTTAATCTGTAGCAATGAGCATGCATTATCAGAAAGAAAATAAAAACGACTTTAAATTAAAGGACACACACACACACACACACACACACCCACACACACCAGTTGTGGCTAAAGGAGCCACAGACAGTCAGCCACTTGCAGGCAGGTGGCCAGCTCCTCTCAGGGGAAACTCAAACTTTGCTTTGTTTCCTCAGCTCCAGGAGGTGGGGACTGCAGGGGGAGGGGAGGAAGGAGAGAAAGAGAAAAGGAAGGACAGGCACTGTGCTGAGCCACTCCCCCCACAGCCAGTCAGGTCTTCTTAACAGGTGAGGAAATTGAGGCTGAGGGACCACCTGGGGCTGTCTGAGGGGAGCAGGATCCAATGTGTGCTGACATTCAGGTGCTTCCTCTTTTGTCCAATCTGGGCAGAGGGCTCTGTGGGGTAGGTATCATTCTTTCCAATTTACAGAGGAGGAAACAGCCTCAGGGAGGTGAAGTGACTTACCCAAGGTCACTCAGCCAGGGGTTGCCCTGATCAAGACTGGCCTCGATTCTTTCCCTGATGCTTATTCCCACAGGTCACTGTGCCCTGAGGTGGACTGGGGTTGGGGCCTTCCATTCAAACTAACACCGGGGACTTTGCCTGGGTGACTCAACATCCACCCACTCCAGGTTGATGGGGGGGGGAGCAGCCTGGCCTCAGGGGCAAGGGTCTGACTGAGGGTAGGCAGCCTGGCTGCTTAGTGAGGGCTCTTCCTTGGCATCACCATGAGATCTGAGCTTCCCCCTCCCCTGGACAACTGGGATGAGCACCAGTTGCCTCTTGCTGAGGCCTTTGGGAGACGTTGGGTATGTGGGAACGTGGCTTGTAAACTAACGTACTGTACAGTATGCAGAGTCTTGGCGGGGGTGGGGAGGAAGGAATGAGCACCTGTGTGTATACAAAATAAATATACCTGAAGGCACCTGACCCGTGAAGGGGCAGCACTTAAGACTGTGAAGGGATGGAAGAGGGGACAGTGCGAGGCAGAGAGCCCAGCTAGTAGAGCACCCAGAGGGCTTCTTCCTCCTGCAATGTTCCTCCTCCCCCCAAGGCAGCCGGGCTCTCAGGAGCCTCTCTGGCAGCCTGGAGACTGGTTTCCTCACCCAACCTGTGGAGCTGTCTCAGGCCGCCTGACAGGTGAAACAGAGGGACCTTTCTCCTGGGCCTGCCTGCCTGACCTTCACTGGTTGTGCTGGGCCAGGCCTGGTTCCTCTGCCTGTTGGAGTTCAGTTTCCAAGGCCCAGTAAAACCAGGCCTGGGAGCCTCTTCAGACCCTCTGGAGAGAGGTGGGGAGGCGTCAGGGGCTGCCACACCTGTAGACTTGACCTCCCATCCCGTAATCCTTGTCTACTCCTTCTCTCCTTCAGACTTGGGGTTTCTCCACAATCTCTCTTTCTTTTTGGTCTCTCAAATCTTTCTTTTTTCCTCTGCATTCTCTTCCTGCCCCTGCTTCTCTTACCATGTTAATTCCTCTATTTCTTTTCCTCTTGTTCCTTCTGCCTCTCAAACTCCTTTTTCTTTCTATCCCAGTTCATAGCTCATAGTTCACACCCGTCTGTTTACCTCCAAAGTCTGCCTCAGTCTCTACCTTTCTCTCTCTACTTTTCCCTCTGTCCTCTCTCTAATCGTCTCAGTCTCCTGCCTTTATTTCTCTGCCTTTTCCTATCTTTCTCTTATCTCTCACCATTTTCCTTCTTCTCTCTCCATCTCTCTCCATCCGGCTCTGTTTCCCTGTCCCTCCCTCCTCCATCGCTCTCGCTCTTCCCTACCCCTCCGTGAGCGTCTCTCCGGAGCCCCTGCCCGTCCAGGCCCCACTCACCGGCGTCCGCGCCCGAGGCGCGGAGCAGGGCGATCCCGGCCAGCGCGCAGAGCAGGGTCCGCATGGTGCCGTCTGCCCGCCTCAGCCCTCCCCAGGATCGCGCCGGGATCGCGCCAGCCCGCCCGGGAGGAAATGCTCTCAGTTCCAGCCAAAATTCCTGGGCGGCTCCGGGCTTTCTGGCTCAAGCGAACCCGCCCCCTTTAGAGGCCCCTCCGCACCCCGCGGGCCCTGTAGAGCCCAGAGACCCCGCGGGCGGAGGGCGGATGCGCCAGCCTGGGTCCCTGACGGGCAAGGGGCCGCCCTGGAGTCAGCCGCGCCTCCAGTGGGCCGGGGCGGAGGAGAGGGAGGGGGGCGGGGGGCGGGGGGCGGGGGGCGGAGGGTGGGGTAAGGGTAAGGGAGTGGGCTTCAGGAGACCACTCCTGGACCCGGATATTCGTTATGATCCCATTTTACAGACCGTCCGGCCAACTGAAGCTGGGAGAGCAGTGCTTTCTTCCTCGGTGTGATCCATAGCTATGGCACAGGACCTAAACCCCTGGCTGCACATAGTGTGGAAACCTGTCTCTGTCCCCCCACGAGTAAGTTATTAACTTTACTTACATAGGACCAATGCCTGGCCCTGAGACGTGGTGTCTGCTTTCTATAGAAATGCACTGTTCTGCTAAAGGAGTAATCAATAGTAATGTTAGAAGATACTTTTCAAAAAAATGGTAAAATCATGACAGCTGTAAAACGAGCATGTGTTGAAGATTTGATTTAACTCACTGTTAATGAAGGAATCAGTAAGAGGTGACATCCAGATCAAAGAACTGACACATCTGAAATATTGACATGAATGTGGAAATAGAGATAAAACTGGCTTCTTCCACATCCTAAAGGAGAATGAATTGAATCTATAACAGGAATAATTTGCATACATATAGACAAGCATTTTTTGCATTACTGTCTATGGCTTATAGACTGGTGAAACAGCTTATAGACAACAAAAGGCCCAGATCCCTAATAGAATCAGAATCAAGACATTCAGCTCTGTTCTAAGAGTGTTAGGTAGACTCTAGTGGAGGGAGGAAATGAAGCAATTCTTATTCGCATGTCTGCCCTCAAGGAGTTTACAGTCTAGTTACCACCATAATATTAATAAACTGTAATTTTTGATTGATTTACCTCTACATAAACCCTCTCACTGATCTGCACTGCAGCTCCGTGAGGGACACATCATTATGTTCATTCTTCAGCTCAAGAAACTGAGACTCCGAAATATTAAGAACCCTGTTGACAGCCACCCAGCTGGTATAATGTGGAGTCAGGATTTCAATCCATTTCTGCTGCCTCTGCAGGCCCTCCCTTAGACCAGCTATTTTCAACCCTTTTCACCTCATGGCACACATAAACTAATTACTAAAATTCTGCAATACACCAAAAAATAGACTATATTTTTTTGCTAATTTGTTTTGTTGGCTGTTGTCATTTTTTAATTTGACAGTCTAAGGGAAAAGAGGTTAGTGTCCTTAACTAAATAGTCAGGTATTGCATATTTTAAAAATTCTTGCTGCACACTGGTTAAAAATTGCTGCCTTAAATAATAATATACACTGTGCTCCTCAGAGCTGGTTTGTCTCCCTTCATCATAAACAAGCCCAGAGTAAAAGCTGGGTGGATTTTTCAGTGAACTTCAAATCCACCTCCTTCTGAGGCAGGAGATAGTCAGGAAGGAGGAAACTCCAGAGGTGCCCCAGGAGATAAAGAACATGGATAAAGGGCGGAGACCCTGTCCTAAGTCTGGTAGTTTCTGTATCTGCAGAAGCATTGAATCCTAGTGAATCAGGAATGCACCTGCACAGAACACGGTACCTGACCCCTACTTCATTATAATGAATTAGCATTGTGGGACCCTCTTCCCAGTAGCCAGTCAAGGAAAGGAAGGCCCACCCTAAGGAATAAAAGTCCTCTAGCCCCTGAGTTCCGCCCTTTTTTGGCCCTGCTCCAGCTGCCCCTGCTGCCTGCTGCTGCTGTGTCTGTTAGGCTCTTCTCCTTTCTTCTCTGCTCCACTCTGTTCAGAGTTGGCCTGTTCCCATGTTTTGTGTGGCTTAATAAATCTGCTTTTCCTTGCTTTCTGCTATAAACTCTGTGTGTTCGGTTCAATTTTTTGTCCATGATCACCAAGAACCTGGTTACCTGTGCCCACCTGTGACACCTCTAGTTTAGAATACAATAGGCAAACCCTCATTCATGGAACATGTCCACCCAAGAAGTGCAAGTTAAGTTTTAGTAAAAACAAAAGAAAAACTCAGCAGCCCTAACATCTGTTTTGTAGAGCCTTGAGTACATAGCGTAGTTTCAGTGGAGAGCCTTCATCACCAAGCCGAGGAGGATGTATTTATGCAGAAAGAACGCCCATCAGGGTTAACTAGAGTCCTTGCAGATCAAGGCTTCCTCTCTGTCTTCTCATTCCCAGCTGTGGCTGTGCAGTCGTCCAATACAGTCACACTAACCAATAATCCTCACTTCTCTCTCCACATAATAGCCTTAAGCACAGAAATCCCAGTTCTGAATCAGCAGATCTTGAACAGAGACTTGGATCTAATTTTTAAGATGCCCTCATGGGGATTAGGATGCCCAGAGGAGCTGGCTCAGAAGAAGGACTTATTTTAAGAATGCCATTAATTTCTCACACTTGTCAGTAGGACATTCCTGGACAGGTTAGTCAGGTAGGAAGATGTCAAAGAACAGCCAAACTAACAGGGATTCGAGCAGCTCAAAACCATTGAGCTACCAAGTATTTTGAATTTGCAATAAAAACAACACACATAAAATACTTTCTTGTGGTAGAGTCACAAAGTAAGAAAGCAGGTAGAGGAAACTGTGGAGCTCCTCCCTGTCACTAACCTCCCCTACACAGTGAATCTAGTCCAGTTCTCTCAGCCTATTGGACTCTTCCAGCTCCTTGTCTATGCATTCCCTAACTATCTAATATATATTCAGACAGACACAAGCACATACCTGGGATTGAAAAGTAGATATTTTTGGAACTTGCTTTCACATACATGTTTATCTCACTCATATCATCAAATCTTGAAGATCATTCTACATTAATGTTACTGGCGGAAATGGGGTCCTTTCAAAGTCTCAAGGAAAGCATTCCAGAGTCCCACACATGGGTGGATAAGGTGTAGTAGTAAGATGTACTGTAGAAGCAAAATCAAAGGACTGTTCTGGGTTCAGCTCCATCCCACTGTAAAGAAAGTTTAGCTTTGTCTTCATCAGGCCCCAAAATAGGGACAGTGTCCAGACATTTTATGCTATGCTGACGTTTAGTCCAGTTTAGCCTCTGTCCTTGTCCAGCTAGCATAGTCTGTGTTCCTGGATGCACTCTGAGACTGCTGAGTTGCTGTACCCAGGCTCATGCTTGGAGCCTGCACTTTGAAGTCTGCTGTAGCTGCTAGGTTCACGTGGCTGCTATGGAGAGAGAATGTGTGCGTGCATGGAGCAAGCGCATGAGAGGGAGAGAGAGAGCGAGAGCAAGAGCGCATGCGAGCACTTTGTTAAATTTGGATTATATTATATTGGGCTTGGAAAGAACCAAGCACCCTTTCAAGCTAACCGATTAGTTTCTCAGTCCTTCATGGGTTTGCACTGGGTCCTTTCCTCTAACCAATCCACTTCCTAGATTTTCTGGGGGGTTTTGTCCCTTATTTGATGGGGCACAGCCAGGGCCTGCCAAAGGGTATTTATAACGGGGCCCAGAAATTGGGGTGTCCAAGAAACATAAGTTCTCCCCACCCCAAGGCAGGCTGTCCTGGGGGATGCGAGACCTGGAGCAGGGCCATTGAGAGTCATTTTGCATGTAAATAACAGGATAGCTTCATTCTTCATATGCAAAGAGGATTATTTTGCATATCACCAAAGCTAATCAGGAAGGTTTCAAAGACTTAATACAGAATGTAACTGGGAGAGGAAGGAGGAGAGACCGGGGCCTGCGGGAGAGACAAAAGGGACACAGACTCTGGGGAGCAATGTGAAGACCACGCAGGAAGAAAGAGGGGAGAAAGGACTCTTGCTAGTGGGCCAGGAGAAGGTGCCACATGGATATGGAGTAAGAGCTGGAGATCGCGGAGACCCAGCAGATGGTGCTGGGAACCACAAGAGGCCTGCCTAACTGAGCCCCGGATTTCTGTTCTTTTTCTTCTGAAGGACAGTAACCCTGACTGACCTGGCTGGGCAAAGGGGGAAAGGCAGGACTATGTGTGTGCTGGTGGTTGTTTTAAGGGGATTTTGAGATTTAGGAGCGACATTTAGCCATTAATCAAACCTGTATAACTTTTGAATAAATAGTTCATTTCCTTTTCACCAAACTCTGCCATTGAGAGCCAGAATTCCAAGGGTGGCAGGCAAAAGACCTACAACCGAGGGACCCCAGGGAAGGAGAGTGGTCGTTGTTTCGGTAATAGCATCTGGGCAACCCCCCCACGGGTCCATTTGTTTGGTAACACTTATGCTATTGAATAATTTTTTTCCAAGCTAGGCTCCACCCCTTATGGTTACCATCTTTGCTCCTGCTGTGCATGCTTCATAGTAGAGAAGCATCCCCCTGCATCATCTTGGCTTCTTTTGGGCATGTGCCCAGCAGAGGAATTTCCCCTTTATTGTCTTATTCCTGCCCTCACCCCGTTGTACCCTGGGGAGATTGGAAAGCTGGTCTTTCCTCCCAGCATGGGGGAGGGAGGGGTGTTAATCCCCTTGGTGGAGCAATGCTATGACCCTCTGAAGTTTCTGAAGCTGTAATTTCATAGTGAAGCAGGTTTATGTTTCCTAGTTGATCTGCTTAACAATGTCTGATTCCCTTTGCTCCCTTCCTTTATTAATATCTAGCTACCTATGCTAACATTAGTATACATAAATCTACTTCAGTCCTTGAAGAGTTGCAAAATATCTTGTCAATGGATGCACCATTATTTTTCTGGACAATCTCCTACTGATGCACATGTAATTTATTTCTTTTCCCCCCCCAGTGTAAAGCATGTTTCAATGAACATCCTTTTGCATATATCTTTATGTACATATTACATAGGCATGTATTTCTGAAAGGCTAGATTCCTGGGAGAGAAATCATTGAGTCAGAGGGCCTTTTATATTTTGTTGGATATGACAAAAACTCTCACTAAGGTCTTCGGTGGGGCCTGGCACGGAGTTACTCCAGGGCTCCCTGTATTAATCCTGTTCTGTGTTGGAGTTGTGCAGCAGGGGGTGCTATTTACATAAAATAACTTCTGTAGTGGAGAAACTTGAAGTTATATATCTAGTAGCCTTGTACATTCGCCAACACTAGATATATATATTTTAAAAAACAGACAATTTGATGACAAAGAATCTAGTCCAGTTTTTAGTCTAGTCTAGTCTTGTTGTTTTTATTTACATGCTATTTATTATGAGTAAAGTTGAGCTTTATTTGCTAATTCAAATACATTTTTCACTGCCCCCCCCCCCCGTTTTCTTTACATACTCTGATTATTAATTCAATATTTGTTATAGATAGTGGCAATGTTTTCTTTCATTCTCCCATTGTATTTTTTTTTGTGGT